AATCAATTTTATTGGTCCCTTTAAAAATTTAAAAAAGAAATTGATGAAAGTATGTTGAACATGATTAGCACAATTTGTTTTGATGGTTAAATATAAACAAATGTTATTCATTAATCGTAAACAAACTTTAACCATAATAAATAAAAGAGTGGAAATTAGGTACACACTAAACTCTAGGTAATTGAAATGAATAAGTAAGTATTTAGTGTCTTATTGGATTGTATTTTTAAAAATTAGATTCTCTATTGTAACTTCAAAACTCTGTAACTTTTTCGTATGCATTTTTGTATTTAATATGTAAATTAGGGTCAGTACTAACCGATTTATTTTTCAATCCGGAGTATCTAGTATAATGTATAATCTAGTATTGATTAATGAAAATTATACATCATATTTCTACAAAAGTATTTGAAACTTCTACCTAATTTAGTAAGTTCTCATGAAAATAGAAAACATTTTTGTGTAAAAATGTATCAAAATCACTTGATTTTGGGAAGTGTAAATCGTATGTCAGTAAATAGACCTTCATACGTCATCACGGCTTAAAAAAAAATTCTTTGCATGTATAACACGTAATTGCAGATTAGCTAATAACAGAATCCGACTAATTCTATATAAATATTGTAAAATTTAATTTATTACGGATATACCTAAGACAAAAATAATTCAGTCCTGCGATTTAAAGTATACCTGACAAATAGGTAACACTGATACTATCAAACTTTGCCAAATATGACAACGGGTAACAGCATTTTAAACTTTGTTCTGGAATATTTGGGTAATATATTTTGAATTAAATCGTCATAAGATAAATGTCTAATTAAAAATAAAGAATAAAACACTTAATTAAAAAAAAAAATAAAAATAAAGTTAAAAAAATAAAGTTAAAAAAAATAAGGTTAAAAAAGTATATTAAAAACTAATAGAACAGTATTTAGCATTAAAAAATATGCATTTACTGTGTGTGCGAAGATTTTAAATTTTAGTTTTATTTTTCACAAATCGTGCCGATTTATTTCTAAGTAACTGCCCACCCCCAGTACCTCCTATTTTGTTCATTATTTTACCCTCTGAAACGTTATTATTTACCTCACAAATTTATTTTACTTTAAATTCTATACTTACTTTATTTAGGCTTTTTCCTGAAGTAGTAGAAGTGATTGTTTAGTTAATTAATTGATAATTTATATACTTACGTTGTGATAATGTTAATTAAGGTAAACCAGGATTCGATGCAAAGTTTGGTGCAAATTGATAAATAAAACATACAAATTCATATTTAAACTCTTTTATTTTTCATACTTTAAATGTGATGCAATAATTAGCAAAGTATATTACAATTGGTACTATTTACTGAGATCTCACTTGAGTCCCGTTCAAACACAGACCACGTTCATCTGCTATCAAGACATATTTTATTTAGGTTGATGACCAACAGAGTTAACGAACAGCGCCAATTCGCCAGTTGCTTAACTACTAGGTTAATGTTGATTTGATTCTATTATAGATGTACACAGGTTGCGCCCTCTTAGGTAAATATTTTGACGAGTATAGAGGTGATGATCAACGGAAGTAACGAACAGCGCCAATTCGCCAGTTGGTTACCTTACTATGTTGATTTCATATATACTTTGTTTCAAACCTAGTAGAACGGGTTGCTTAGCGTATAGGTGTCCCTCCTTGAGCTAACGAACAGTGTATTCACTAGTTAGTTAACTTACTGTTAAACTTTACCATCTTGGTTTGTACAATTTACCCAAGATAGCACTTCCCTGTATATTTCTAAAATATTGATTATTATAATTTCTATGGAAATAACTTCATACAACCCTGTATATTTTTTTGTATTGATTTTCATAATTTTTATTGAAATACTCAAAAACTCACCCATCGAAAACAGATGTCTACCCTAACTGTCTTTCGGGGTGTATGACCTAAAGGCCATGTGGTTTATTGGTTACATTGACAATATTTCGAAGAAAATGTCAGGCCCCGGTGGTATTTCAAAGAAAGTTATATAAATCTTTGGACTCACCATTCAAAATACAGACATTAGGTTATGTACTAATTTCATCTAGCGTTGTGATGGCGTCGATTTAGATACGACGCAGCGTTGAGCGTTGCCTTGCGTCGAGGCGCCTAGCGTCGTGGTGGAAAGGAAGATATTTAATACGGTACTGCAATGGGACAAAGATACGGTAGAAATATTCAGGTGGTGCGGGACGTGACGTAGGGTGCCGACAAAGATATTATGAAGGAAATATTTAGGGGCGGCAAGCGTCGAGAAGTAGAGCGATGGGACGTTGGGCGTCGGAATAAATGTACGGTTGAAAATACTTAGATGGTGTGGAATGTGACAGTATTCGAGACGTAGGGTGTAGGACGGCAGGACGTTGGGCGTCAAGACGTTGGACACCTTCGGGGATAGGAAGTATTGTAGGATAGACGTCGTTTACGAAGAGCGTTTTAGGAAAGGTACTGACTACTGAACTTGAAATATAACTGGATACAAATAATAAATGAATGCTTGCACATCAAATAATAAAAAATGAATGAATTAGAGCTGCTTTGGGTCAGACTTCTTATACTAAGTTTAATGGCTTTTTGTGACGTCTCTGTGTGTCTTAGTTCCCAGAGAAATACAAATGTGGTTGCAAAGGGCGTGGTTCATTTATTATTTGCCTTGAAAGCTTTGTGTATCGAAATATTGTCGAAATCGGTCTTTACATCGAAACTAGAAAGATAAGCAAGTTAAGTGTTTTAATGATAATTACTTCGTGAAAAGAAATATGTTTTATGGTGGTATCTTGGTCTAGGTTCTCAGACAAGTGCACGAAAATTGGATCTTTTACAGACATGGTTATAGATATTATTTATTAGGTGTCTCAAATAAGATTTAATTATCTGGGACATTTTTAAATGAAGGATTTTGAATTTAATAAGAATGCAATATTATATTTAATAAATGGAATAAATAAATTATTAAGGTACCTGGGTGCGGTAGGTTACAGTTATAACACAATAAAGCTAGAAATTGGGCCATACTTGTACTAAAACGTACTAAAGAATGAACATCGATAGAAAATATGGACTTTTCGGTAAATTGGTAGATAGACTGCGAAATTGTTAGAAGTGGCATCACTGTTCACATGAATCTTACCCTTCGTGAAAATGGATTTTATAATTTTAACCAAGTGACATGCGCAGTAAGGCCAAATTGTGAGGGAGTACCACAATATATCCCCTGTAGTAGTGCATTTGACTTGTTAAAGAGATGGCACTAAATTTGCAGCACTACATGCGACTGGCCGCTCAATTAACTCGATATGGCGGTAAATTCAAATATAATTTTAAGGCGAAACTTAAATTTCCCGCCAAATTATTAAATTTCCAGCAGCAAAATGGCGGAAATTTTTAAATATATTCATTCTGCAATAATAATTGGGAAGTATATTGCATGTTCCATTAAACGAGCTGTAAAAATAATAGGATTTTTTTTATTGTTAGCTATTATAGTAAGAGCAGCGTTTGGATTAACAACACATTTAAATAAACATGTAATATACTTTTCAATTTTACCTGAATCACTTATTTTTTTACCTATAGAGACTAGATCTGAAAAAAAAAAATTGGCCCTGGTATAAAAAAAATTGTATAAAATATTTTATTTGAAAAATTGTATAAATTATTTAATTTATTTAAAAGTCGAGGATAACTCTAGCCATATACATTTTACTGAAAAAAAAAAGAAACAATATTAAATTAAATCATTCGTTAGATATTTGAAATAATACAGTGTAGGCTATCGAATGTTTTACAATACATTTTGCTAATGTCCAAGTGAAAACAAGAGGGGGCAAAATCCCCGAGGCTCGAACCCAAGGCCTCGGCAGCTTTAACAAATAGGTTATAGTATATGGGGGGCGAGCTCTTGCCAGTGTTTTGCCCCGGGGTCCCACCACGGCTCTCCCATGTTTATATTACACAGCACACAAGGCAACATTCATATTATTTGTTTTCTGATCTTTAGTTTTCACTTCGATGCTAGCAAAGCATATTGGAAAGTTTTCAATAGCCGATACTGTATATAAATGCTAAAATCAACAAGTGAAATAAAAATTTGTAGTTTAATTGGACACCTACTTCGAAAAAGGAGAAAAACTGAAACAGTAAATTATTATATTTAAATGTTAAAGGCTGTTACCACTGGAAAACTATTATCTAGGTCTTGGATGACAGCCTCCTTGAATCGTGTCCATAGGAAAGCATAAGATCCTTAGTAAAATTATAATATTAGAGGTTATTAACTGAAAAATATGAAAAATTATTACAAACTTACGTCAAAATTAGCAACTACATTAAAAGAAAGGAAAACTGAAACAAAATGTGTATGCTTGAATTAATGGATTTTGCCACTGGAATAGTATTATATAGGGCGGGGACCTTTGGATGACAGCCGTAGGAATCCCATTTTGAATTCTCTTTTTTTAAGTTTGTTGTACGGTTTGCTTTTCATATTAAATAAGTAAGCCCTTAATACAACACAAATCACAATAAATATCGCTGAAACAAAATTAATAAACGGTATAAATTTCGTAACAGAACAAAATCAAAAAAATATCACTTGTCAATACTACTTACACGTCACGCTTTACTTGTCAAAAACTTCGTCTTTAACCAATGAATGTGCCGATGTCAGACGTGTCAAAATTCAAAACAATACTAGCGCCATGTGACTCTGCGCCTGGCCGCAGCGTAACCCAAAGCTATTTCTTGAATCCCAGTGACATTACTACAGGGGATATATTGTAGGGAGTACTGCTATACGACTAATCTCACAGTTACTAAATACGGGTCCAGGGTTGTCGGATTAGACACTTCAAGATAACATTTTTAAAACCCAAATAATATATTTATGGACAAACCATAAGTAGAGACGTACCATAATATGTACAGACTTGAGGTGATTCCAAAAATACCATTATTGCTATTTTTTCTAGGTTGATGCAGAATGTTTTAGACATGCTTACGATTTTATATGTCAAATATTACAACCACCTTGTAAAAAAGGAGTTACTGAAGACGAAATGATACTGCCCTGTAGAAGTTTTTGCAGAGATTTCATGGCTGGTTGTGGAAACAGACTACAAGGAAAAATTAAAGAATTTTTGGATTGTTCGAAGTTTCCGGAATTTGGGGAAAATACATGCATCACTAAACCAGGTAGGTCAAATCCAAGTAAATAGTTATGAATTCAATTATACTTTTGCTGCACATTTATTAAAAAAATATTTTTTTATTAATTAGATAAAGTCATTTAAAAGTTTTAAAATTGGTCTTAAAAGAATATGGAATATTTTTTGGAATGTAAATAACAAAATAAGTTTTAAAATATTATTTAATATAATTCCAGCGAAAGTTAATGCTCTAGACTTTGATTTCTTCCTGAAAGTAACATTTCTCAAGGTCCTGAAAGTAGCTGAACATTTTTTTGTCAGCATGCTTGATGCGTTGTTGAACTGCTGCTTGTCAGAAAATATTTCAATTTCAAAAAGCTGCAAAAGCCAGCACTTTTCAAGTCGCATTAATGAACCTCGGCCTCTTTGTGCCGATTCACCGTGACAAGGAGTCCTTGAAATTCGTTCCCTTTCAATAGTTTAAGCAAATATGGAACTCACAAGAAAATCTGTAAAATACAGAAGTTCCTTGTTTACAATAAAATGATACAAATTTGCAAATCTCAATCTCACCCTATTTTAGTTGAAGGTCTGATTAAACCTTATTGGTAAATACATTTATCAACGATTTTCTATTGATATTCGATTTTAGACGAAATTTAACTGAAATGAAACAATTTGAGACTCTCAAATTTTTATATTATTCATATTAACCGACTTCAAATAAAAGTAATTTAAAAAACCGACTTCAAAATCGAGCAGATGCCCTTAAAATATGAGGTTTTTGTTTTTCTCATAAATCATCAGACCCTAACCAATTGTATATGTAATTTACCCCTGATGTATCCAATTTCTAACAAAAAAGAATCATAGAAATCGGGCAACGTGGTAAAGAATTATAGTAAAAATACATAAAAAATTAAGAGACTTACGAATTTCTCATGGACCCCATTATTAGATCTTAACCAAATTTATATGGGACCCAGTGTTGCCAACCGGAAGGAAATTTCCCGTTTTCTGGGAATTTTCAACACAAAGGGGAAAAATGTTAACTCAAAACTTCAGTCCAAATTGTAAAAAATGTATGATTTTAAAAATAAATAAAATTAAAATTGTTAATTCTTTAATATATTTTTAAAGTTTTGTTAAAAGATTTATGTTTTTTAGATGATACTTTTTATACTTTGTTATGTACCTTCGTTTTTCTTTTAATAAATATTCTTTGGAAAATATTATGTAGATGCTTGTATTTCTGATATAAAACTGATTTTGTTGACGGGAAGGAATTTTTTTATAAAAGAGGGAATTTTTAAGGTAAGTTATGTTATGTTGGGAATGGGGTGTTAATACACTGCGACCTAAAAGATCTATTGTGCCCCCTTCTGTCGCTAATGCACCGAGGAAATGTCTCAATGTCTATAACGATCCTTCCAATCCTATTTCCTCAAGGAAGTGTAGGATTTGAAGTGGCTTCAAGTTAGGTAAATCTCCCTCTTCTATTTGATATCCTCCTAGATATAGTGCCCTTGGATTCTCGAGTGCTACACATTCAGTTAGGATGTGAATGGAGGTTTCGTCCTCCTCCTCATAGAATCTGCACTCACTATCCTCTACTACTCTCAGTTTACTTAGGTGTCCTTTTTAGTCGGCAATGCCCGGTAAGGATCCCTGTTACAATACGTAATCTGTTCTTGCTCAGGCAGATGCAGGCTTTCGATCTTTTCATGTCATATTCACCCAAAAGTATCTTGGCCTGTCTCAGCCCCATGAGATTGTTCCAATTATCGGTTATTCTACTGCCCAATTCTTAATTTTTAAGGTAAGAAGAGGGAAAAAGTTTACTTCAAGGTTGGCAACACTGATGGGAGACCATTCCTGATGTCATAAAAATCGGACAACGTAGTAAATAATTATCGCTGAACATACACAAAAAAATATTCCGACGAATTGAGACCCTCCTTCTTTTTTGAAATCGGCTAAAAAAGAAGGAGGTTCTCAATTCCTTCAGCGATAATTCTTTACCACGTTGTCCGATTTCTATGTATCTTTTTTTTGGTTAGAAAGGGGGGTATCTAAGGGGTGGTCCCATATAAGTTTGGTCAAGATTTGTTAATGGGATTCATGAGAAACTCATCAAACTCTTAATTTTTTTATGTATATTCAGCGATAATTCTTTACCACGTTGCCCGATTTCTATGATTCCTTTCTTGTTAAAAATGGGGTACCTCGGGGGTGGTCCCATATACATTTGGTCAAGATCTGATGGAATTAATGAGAAAATTAGCAATCTTAATTTGTGATGGCATGTGCACGATTTTGAAGACGGTTTTTTAAAATTACTTCTATAACTTGTGAGCTAAATGATTGTTTTATTAGATTTAATGGATTTATTTTATTAACTGTCTGATGGTCTGCGTTGGTGAGAATTAGACACATTTAAATTTGAACGATACAAAAAATCATTATATACATTGTTTTTTTTTTATCTCAAATTCTATTATTAGTATCTATATAGTTAGTCTGAAAAGGTTCTAGTAAGAAAAATTGAATATGGTTACTGTGGTTGCAAGTATGTGTTATAAATAAGTTTTCAGAGTTTGGCATCCATATGTTGAACAGTGATATAACTGTGAGTTTTTAGAGATAGTATCTGTTTGACAAAATATTTTATTAGCTAATACTATATTTAGTACCTGGTAGGTATCTGAATCTATAACGTGTGGAGGTGGATTACCCCACGGCACTTTGGTTTTATTAGGCCCATTGTGCATATTTCTAAATTGATGGGTACGTCCTAGCCCGTGAGCCAGCCTACAAATTTTTTGAAGTAGTAGACAAAGTCCCCGAGAGGTGCTTCTGTTATATCGGCTGGTGTAAGCCAATTCTCGCCGAACACAACTCTTCTAATAAATGAGAGCGTCGGGCAATCATAGAGGAAATGCCTGATGGTCAAAGTGCGGATTCTGACAGCCGCATGCTATGGCAATGACCAATCAGAATGTCTGTGATCAGCTGCAGATTATGTCTAGTCATAGTCAAGTAATTGTTTACTGTAGTATTGTTAAGATAACTTAAACACTCTGGCAACTCTACAACTCCTTATTTCATCCCATCTTTTCTTTAATTTCATAAGGGCCGTTCTCTAATTAGGTTTATCACAACCGATGTTTTCAGTCCAATAGATGGGCCAAGTCCAAAACGTATTTGGTTGGCTGCCTTCTTGGCTAGGGATCAGCAAGACGGTTACCTTTCGATCAGGCATGACCTTTGACATATCTTAAGGTGACCACATTGTTGATGGTACCTTCGACCAAAGCTTCGTAACATTCTAGTACTAACCCTAAGTAAATTCGTGGTCTGTCCAGGGTGAATAGTGCTTGTCTGGCTGCTATGAGGATCCACATGATCTTGGTTTGAACTACATTGAACTATTGCTTACAGCCCATTTTACGTTAAGATAAATATCTGGAGTATATTCCACATCCTAAACCTTGTTTTGTTTTAGAATCGTCGGTGTATATATGAATCATACATCCGCCACTTCTGGATCTTTTATTTGCTTGATTATAAATTTGTATGGCTTATGGAAGATATATCTTGAATAGATGGAGTCCACGTTAGCTTGAAGCAGTAGAGGCATATTAAGCGCCTCCTGCCAAAATCAACGACTCGCCTAAAAGCCAATCCTGCAGCCTGAGTAGATAACAAATATATTTTTATTTCATATTTATAAAAATTGGGTTTCCTTTACCTGGGAGGCTGTAGGGGTATAGCTACAACAACCCTTACATGTAAGCCAGCACTGGCGTAATGCCTAGCTGTGTACTACATTCCTTTGCTATTATTAATACTCATTTAAGTAAAAAAATCGACTGGGATAACGTTTCATAAGTTAGCATAAAACTTAAAAATATTTTATAGGACAGTAATATGTCCGGTTTCTAAATAATGTCTAACAGTATGTTTTTAAAAATAAAAAAAATCATCAAATTTTGAGTCTACCTATATTAAAATAGTATTTTTTCATACTATTGTTAGAAGTTAAACAAATTAACTTCAAAACTATTGTTTTTAAATGATTTATCACCCTTTATCACCCTTTATACTATAACATACTATAACATAAGTAGTGTATAATGTGTTGCCTATATTTACGTTATTGATGAAAAAAGGAGTTGATATTCAAAGTCAATGTTAACTTGGATAATAAAAGAAAAAACCATCAATCTAGGTACAAATAACTTCAAAATCTTTTATTAAAAATTAATATTATTATATTATATCTAATTTAAATTAGGCGAGTGACAAAGCTGTCAAGTTTTCCGCACTACAATCGACAAATCTGTCACTTAATGTCTGTTCGCGGAAAACGTCAACTTTGCTATTAGGCATTCCAACGACCTGTCAAACAATAGGTACCAGTGGGAAATTCTTGTATATTTAAGGGGGTAGCGACATAGTCTTGCAACTTGGACGCTATTTTTATTCGAAGTAGTACTCGCCAAGCCTGCCAATTTATGGAGAAATGTATAGGTGGGTTTTTTAAATATTATTTTTATTGTGTTTGACATAAAATATTTAAATGTAATCCATTATTCATGATTTTACGTAAAGTAGATAGAATACACCATATGTCGCCACCCTTAGATATACCAAACCTGCCCACTGGTAATTCATTTGTTTGGAATGCCTAATAGGGACCGTGCGTGAAATATAGAGGCAGCACTACTGCCGAACTTAGCCCTCTAGTGTTTAATTTTAGAATTAAATGGGTTAAACATTGCAAGTAAATAATGAAGGGTATTTTTTAAATATTAAATATAGTTAAAAATAGATACCGGCCCGTACCAAACAATCGTGTACATGGTCAAAATGACGTAAAATGTGAAACATTATTAAAATCTGGACATGCATATACATTTTAAGCAAAAAGATTTAAATGGCTAAGTGACAATAAATTGTAAAGTTTTACCTTAAACAAGTGTATCCAATGTTAAAATATAGGTATTTAGTAACACTGAATTTAAAAGTATTACAATAACATTT